TTTCTACTATATTCGAGCTATAGTGTTATATAAATCGTAAAAGCCAACAAGAAGACACTGAAATCATAAAATAACATTAATAAAAGCAAGCATTGCAACGAGAACGTGAAGAGTTTTAGAATTTGCTCCATCGTCATATTGTGAAGGAATTGGAGCGGTGTGCGATTCCAGAATAATGTCAGTGACAACACTTACAGTAACATCAGGAACATCTGGAAGTATTGTTAAAGTACGAACAACCTCGGTAACAGTGGTACAGGGTTCTCCACTAACCGTAATTGTAACAGGCTCGGTGGTTGTATAAACAATGATAGTTGTAGATTCAGTTGCAGAAGTTGGGACAGTGATTGTTTCAACAGTGGTGCATGGAACAGTAATGGTGGTGACATAGTTGTCAACGGTAGTAGTTGTTAAAGTAGCAGGATATTCAGTAGTGATGACTATTGTTGTAGGGATACTACTTGAGCAGACGGTGGTGATGGTTTCAGTTGTTGTCAAAGTAGTTTCAAAGGTAGAAGTACCAGTAATTGTACTTGTAATAATTGTTGTAGACGTGACATCACTGGACTCGGACTTGGTAGTTTCAGATTGAGGCTGAGTTGAAGTAGTTGTAGTGGTTGTAGTACTTGACTCTTCTGGACCCACTGACGATGAAGGCTTAGGTTCAGGTGAGGGTTCTGGTTCTGCCGAAGATGAGGGTTTAGGTTCTGGAGAAGGTGAAGATGAAGGTTCAGGTTCAGGTGAAGTTTCTGGTTCTGGCGAAGATGAAGGTTCAGGTTCTGGTGACGTTTCTGGTTCTGGCGACGATGTTTCTGGTTCTTCGGTAGACGTTGTTGGTCCCTCAGTGGATGTTTCTGGTTCCTCAGTGGATGTTTCTGGTTCTGGTGACGTTTCTGGTTCTGGTGACGTTTCTGGTTCTGGCGAAGATGAAGGTTCAGGTTCAGGCGACGTTTCAGGTACTTCGGAAGAAGTTTCTGGTTCCTCAGTAGATGTTTCTTGTTCTTCGGTAGATGTTTCTGGTTCTTCAGTAGATGTTGTTGGTTCCTCAGTGGATGATTCTGGTTCCTCAGTGGATGATTCTGGTTCCTCAGTGGATGTTTCTGGTTCAGGTGAAGATGAAGCTTCAGGTTCAGGTGAAGTTTCTGGTTCTGGTGACGTTTCTGGTTCTGGCGAAGATGAAGGTTCAGGTTCAGGCGACGTTTCAGGTACTTCGGAAGAAGTTTCTGGTTCCTCAGTAGATGTTTCTTGTTCTTCGGTAGATGTTTCTGGTTCTTCAGTAGATGTTGTTGGTTCCTCAGTGGATGATTCTGGTTCCTCAGTGGATGATTCTGGTTCCTCAGTGGATGTTTCTGGTTCTGGCGAAGATGAAGGTTCAGGTTCAGGTGACGTTTCAGGTACTTCGGAAGAAGTTTCTGGTTCCTCAGTAGATGTTTCTGGTTCTTCGGTAGATGTTTCTGGTTCTTCAGTAGACGTTGTTGGTTCCTCAGTAGATGTTTCTGGTACTTCAGTAGACGTTGTTGGTTCCTCAGTGGATGTTTCTGGTTCAGTAGATGTTTCTGGTTCTTCAGTAGATGATTCCGGTTCTTCAGAAGATGTTTCTGGTTCTTCAGAAGATGTTTCAGGCACAGGCATTCCACATCCCAAATCCCAACAGTACATTGCTCCATCAGCTAATTCATTTTTAGCTGGACATTCAAATACGTAACGAGCATAAGGAGGCTTGGTTGGCTTGTCGCAGTTGGCTGCAATATAAGTTCCGTCATTCTTATCGCACCAGTTGTATTCTAGACTAAATGAATGAGCACAAGCTTTGTTACCGACACGAGTTGCCTTCATTAACCAAACAACGGTGATATGTTTTTCATCGTTTTCGACTTTATCAATCTTCTTTGCTACGTTAATTAATTCAGCCATACCATTTAAATAATTATCAGGAGTTTGCAAATCTAACAATCTAAGGGTGGAAAGTGACTTTTTATTGATGCCGTTTGATATTTCAAATTCAACCTCAACTTGGTAGATATCATCCTTAATCCATTTGACACTTTTGTATTGAAAGGTCTTGAATGTAGCATATTTCAAGTCTTTTGATCTTTCCCCGATCTTAACACTGCAAGCTGTAGCAATACTTGACAGTTTACAAGTAGCCTGGGGAGTCGGTTTGGGGTTTGGAAGCGTTGTAATAGTCGCGTGCGACAAGACTGCTACAATAAAATAACTAAGGATAAGTAATAATTTCATTTTTGTTTAATAGCTTTATATTTAAGAAATTGTTGTTATGTGTATGTATTGCTGTCTGCTAGTTAACTTGAAGAAGAGAGAAGAAGGAAAAGCCCGGAAGAGAAAGAGAACACCACCTCTATTTATACTTGAATTGAGAGATATATGGCCGCATGAGGCGATGTATCTTCTTGTTGACATGTAGCAATAATTACATGATGGGCATGCGGCGATTTATCTTCTTGTTGACATGTAGCAATAATTACATGATGGGCGTGCGGCGATGTATCTTCTTGTTGACATGTAGTAATAATTATATAATTTGTTTGATCAGCCTTTCCAAGAAGAACGGGTGATATGATTTATAAGTTCAATCGACATGAATGACTTTTTGCAGCAAAAATAGTTTAGAGATATTTTTTAGTTTTAAATTTATTTTTTAAGGCACTAGCCATGATTATTTTTTCAGCAAACAGAATAGTATCCTCGGATTAAAAAATTTAGAACAGCGATAAAAAGGAATGAACTTTTACAGGAACATAAATTTTGATGGACTGCCACCCATGAAGTGTTAGGATATACCTTATATAATTTTTTTGCTTCATTCAGTAGCAACTTCTTTTGATTTATTGTGGTATAAAAATAATGGATTTGGTAGGAAAATAACTCCCAAAAAATGTGTTTTTAAACAAGTTCTTCAGCGGGGTTCTTCCGAACACGACAAATAATCCTAATTGAGAATGATTCTTTTTTTTATTTTTACGAAGAACGGTACTAACTTTATTTTTAATACAAAAACTATAAATATGCACTTCATGTACAGATGCACACTGAAAAAATACAGCCAAAAAAACTCCGAATGCTATCATCTTGCTTAAAATAGAAATTTGCAACATCGTTCCAATTGAAATAAATAAATAGGATAATGGGCCACTCAGTTCTTGCTTTTCAAGTTCTGGATGATATCTATTCTCCAAAATGTGATATTCCTAGAGAGAAAAAATCTTAACAAAGAAAATGGCAAATTATTGTTGCAAGAAAAAGAACAGAACGAAAGTCATTGGCATGTTTTTGGTCTTTTAAATAGAAAGCCCAATATTGGTTACGGCGGTTGTTTTCTGCTATGCCTTTGAAATGGCAGGGCTTTTGACAAGAATGATTTCGATGTGATATTTTCTTTTCAATGCCACCTTTTCTCAAGTTGTCACGACGTGTTCGTGACCCCGGAACAGATAATTATTTGTTTATTTTTATTTTTTAATTTTTTGGTAACCCATCAGAAACCCGTAATCTAAAAATAAGATCTCATCGGGACGACCTTAGCGAATTGATTAAACGTTTTACAAAATACCTTATGCAAGCGATTGCAGTTTGTCGCACGAATGCCTTCCTAATAAATTTCAATACCCAATGTCAAACACAAAAGTTGCGTCTATATTACTCTCTCAAAGAAATTGACTTCATCTCCACTGATTCAGTTTGGAATTTTGACAAGCTATATTGTTCATTACTTTGATCGGATAGTTCAAAGACATGTTATCCAACGGTGTCAGAATGTTCTGCAGCGAGAAAACCTTGGTTTCTTTTTGCTCTTCATCAATACCTCATGAAACGAACAAAACAAAAACAAGCCCTGAGATAATACATTTTGTGTGACCTCGGAATCCAGGATATGTTTTCCGTGACCAGGAATATTATTGTTCTGCAATAATATTTTTTACTTGACGTCGGGCTAGGATATCTTTTCGATGACCAGGAATATTATCTTCCCCAAGCCGAAATTCGACGAGGAATGATTTTTCGCTTTAAACGCATGCAAGTGAGAAGGGCCAATTTTGTTAAGTACGGTATATTGGATGAAAGCTAAAATGGTAATGAGCTATGGCTTGAGATAGCAAATGAATTATTCGGGAATCGCCCGTCCGGAATAAAAACCCTGAAAACTCACTGGAAAGAAGCGCTGAAACCCTTGTAATGTATGATGGCACCAGCTATATGTAGCATATGCAATGTACAGTAGCTATGCCGAAAATGAGCTATGCATGTTGAAATGGAACTCCCTTGAAATTGATCTGGTATCTGTAAAAAATCACGAGATTTAGATGACCAAGTATCTTTTGGTTTCGCATACAATCGAAAAGTAGTATTTTTAGAAATGTGACGCTGTTCCATTTTGGGTTTACCATCATCTCGGATACCCAGTCTCTTGGAAATGATTAGTCAGTGCATTGTCACCATTATCATCATTAGCACCAGTATCTCTGTTTGCATTGTTATCAGTACCTGTATTTGCATCATCAGCAAACTCAGAGTTAAGACCATTAAGAATATCGTTAATACTAGACATATTTTGATTAATTGTAAAAGAACTAATTAACTAATTTTTTTTTCTCTTGTAATATAGAATTTATAAAATAATACAGCGTTTATTTTCTGTTGAATTTACCACCTCATATCGCAATATTCATGGTGGTGAATTATAACTTTTATTTGATATACTTTTGTTAACTTTTATTTATTAACTTTTATTTGATATTTTTATTAAACTTTTATTTGAAACACTTTTATTAATTTTGATTGAGAACACAAGAAGTCTTGCCACAACTCTCAACACAATCATTTCCGACTTTCCTTCAAGAGTAACTTTTGTAAATGGTACACTTTTATTCCAAAGAAAGTTGACACTTAGATGTTTTTGTAAGATTGTTTTGAGATCACTTTTTGGCATGGATAAGCCGTGCATGTGGCGAAGATCCAATTTTCATTGTTCAAACAATCAAACGCGCATTCATGCATGTGTCAACGAATGAAACAATATACCGCTGATACGGCAAGAAAAGGCGAATCTAGGTCTAGACAAGAACAATGTGCACCAACTTCTAAACAAGAGCATACCCTTCTCGAAATGAATGAAGATCCATAGTTTGAGAAATATAAATGGACCTACATACAAGTAGTTGTTTGAGATAGACAAAATTTTGAATCTATAAATAAAACCCATTGCCAATAATTTAGTTCCAAAGCTCTTTGCATTGTAAACCTTTCCCATCCTCCTGCTCGCCACATATTTCCCAAGAAAACTGGTGATATTGCCATCCTCTATAAGAACTTGTTTTTATCTCCATCGGATTGATTCAGACTTTGAAAATTCTCCACAGAACCCACTACATTTGTGATTTTTGAGAGACCTTAAAGAAAACCCATTTGTATCAAATGTTAAATATTCATTGTTTGATGTTAGCAACTATTGTTTGGTCCCTTCGGAAAATATGTTTGATCGTCTCCCCCGGTATTTTATATAGCCTTTTTTATATTGTACGTAGTTTAACGCACGCCTATTATGTAAAAAAAAAAAAAAATAACTTTATTTCAACAACAAAGGCTTATTTTTTAATTTTTTTTGGATTATTGGATATTTTGGATTAAATTTATTGGGAACACCCTTTTGCAAATCAAATTATAAACAGCCATAAACACATTGTTTTGGAAATTTTACAGGATTTCTTATAAGTGGCGCTTAGCCAGATTTTCAACTTATAAAAACAACGAATAGCTACAAGTACAATTATGTTGCTAATAATCAACGTAGATGCTGCGCCTTCATAAAGAGTAGTGGAACCCACAATCGCCGGAACAACACCCTCTAGTTCGGGAAAAGTAGTAATTTCAGCAACAGGAGTGATGATTATTACATCGGGTTGTAATTGAATGTTGTTTGTCCAACCCCTCAAAGAAAAAGAATAAATGAGTGATAAATACAGAAGTTATTTAGAAAGAGAAATTGAATAGAACGAGTTTTTTTTTATTATTTTCTACTATATTCGAGCTATAGTGTTATATAAATCGTAAAAGCCAACAAGAAGACATTGAAATCATAAAATAACATTAATAAAAGCAAGCATTGCAACGAGAACGTGAAGACTTTTAGAATTTGCTCCATCGTCATATTGTGAAGGAATTGGAGCGGTTTGTGATTCCAGGACAGTGTCAATGATAACACTTATAGTAACATCAGGAACATCTGGAAGTATTGTTGAAGTACGAACAGAAGTTGGAACAGTAATGATGGTGACATAGGTATCAATGGAAGATGTTGTCGAAATAGTTTCAATGGTAGAAGTACCAGAAATTGTAGTTGTAATAATTGTTGTGGGCGTGACATCACTGGACTCGGTCTTGGTAGTTTCAGATTGAGACTGAGTTGAAGTAAGAGTATCAGTTGTAGTAGCCGTATCAGTTGTAGTAGCCGTATCAGTTGTAGTAGTTGTAGCACTTGACTCATCTGGAACCCCTGATGATGAGGGCCCAGGTTCAGGTGAGGGTTCTGGTTCTGCCGAAGTTGATGGTTTAGGTTCTGGTGACGTTTCTGGTTCNCTGGTTCTTCGGTAGATGTTTCTGGTTCTTCAGTAGACGTTGTTGGTTCCTCAGTGGATGTTTCTGGTTCTTCAGTGGATGTTTCTGGTTCTTCGGTAGATGTTTCTGGTTCTTCAGTAGACGTTGTTGGTTCCTCAGTGGATGTTTCTGGTTCCTCAGTGGATGTTTCCGGTTCTTCGGTAGATGTTTCTGGTTCTTCAGTAGATGTTTCAGGCAAAGGCACACCACACTGCAAATCCCAACAGAACATTGGTCCATCAACTAAATCTTCTCCAACGGGACATTCAAATACGTACAGAGCATAAAAAGGCAATTTTGCGTTGTCGCAGTTGGCTGGAATATAAGATCCGTCTAGCTTATTGCACCAGGTATATTCATATCTAATTGGATGAGCACAAGCTTTGTTACCGACACGAGTTGCCTTCATTAAATAAACAACGCTAAAATGTCTTTCAGCGGTACCGACAAGATCAATTTTGTTTGCTCTGTTCATCAATACAAGCTTACCGTTTAAATAATTATTAGGCGTTTCCAAACCTAACATTTCAAGGGTGGAAAGTGAAGCTTTAGTGATGCCGTCTGATATTTCAAATTCAACCCAGACTTGGTAGATATCATCCTCAATCCATTTGACATATTGGTATTTAAAATCTTTAAATTTAGGAAAACCACAACTTTTTGATCTTGCACCAGGCGTAAAATCGCAAGCTGGAGCAATGTTTTCTGGATCACAAGTAGCCTGGGGAGTCGGTTGGGGTTTTGGAAGGGTTGTAATAGTCGCGTGCGACAAGACTGCTGCAATAAAATAACTAAGGATGAGTAATAATCTCATTTTTGTTTAATAGCTTTATATTTAAGAAATTCTTGTTATGTGTATGTATTGTTGTTTGGTAGTAAACTTGAAGCAGAAAGATGATGGAAAAGCCTGGAAGAAAAAGAGATGCCCGCCTCTATTTATACTTGAATTGAGTGTCTCAGCCGCATGGGATGCCGTACGACTGGGATACTTCGCCACATGGGATGCCCTATCTTATTGTTGATATGTAGCATTAATTACATCATGGATTTGATCAGTGTTTCCAGGAAGAACGGGTGATATGGTTTAGAAGTTCAATCGATATGAATGACTTTTCGCAGCAAAAAAGTTCAGAGATATTTTTTAATTTTAAATATATTTTTTAATGCACTAGCCATGATTATTTTTTCAAGAACCGGAATATTATCCTCGGATCAAAATCAGGAAAACCTAAAGAATTTTAGAACAGTGATAAAAAGGAATGTGCTTTTACAATATCATAAATTTTGATGGACTGTCACCCATAAAGCGTTTGGATATACCTTAATTATCTTTTTTGCTTCCCCGTAGCAACTTCCCTTGATTTATTGCGGTGTAAAAATAATGGATTTTGTATGAAAATAACTCCCTAAAAATTTTTTTACGGAAGATCCGCATCAGGGTTCTTCCGAACAAATAATCGGGATGAAGAAAAAAGAACTGTGCAACATTCATTGCTGAACTCCGAAAAAATATGTAAAAAAAAAATAAATATTACAAGGAAAAAAACTCCGAATGCTGTCATTTTGCTTAAAATAGAAATTTGCAACATCTTTCTAATTGAAGTAAAGTAGTCGGATAATGGGCTATCCAATCCGTGCTATTCAAGTTCTGGATGATATCTATTCTCCAAACTGTGATATTCCTAAAGAGAAAAAATCTTAACAAAGAAAATGGCAAATTATTGTTACCAGAAAAAAAAAAGAACGAAAACCATTGGAATGCTTTAAGTCTTTCAAATAGAAAGCATAATACTGGCTATGGCGGATGTTTTCGGATATGCCTTCGCAATGACTGGGTTTTATGACAAGAATGATTTCGATGTCATTTTTTTTTGAATGTCACCTTTTCTCAAGTTGTCACGACATGTTCGTGACCCCGAAACAGAAAATAACTTTCTTTTGTTGATTTTTATTTTCTTCGTAACCCATAAAGTTGCAACTAAAAATAAAATCTCTTCGGAACGATCTTAGCGAATTCATTAATCGATTTACGTAATATCTTATGCAAGCGAATGCAGTTTGTCAGACGAATGCGTGCCTAATAGATGTCAGACAATGTCATACAAATTTGCGTCTATACTACTTTCTCAAAGAAATTGACATCATCGCCACTAACTCAGATTGGGAATTTTGACAAGCTACATTGTGCATTACTTTGACTGGATAGTTCAACGTGTTATCCGATGGTGTCAGAATGATCCGCTGCGCAAAAACTTTTCTATCTGTTTCTTTTCTTCTTCATGAATTTATTACGTCATCAAATGCGCTAAAATAATATTTTTTTGCGTGACGATGGAATCCAGGATATCTTTTCCGTGACGCTTATTGTTCCCCGAAGCAACCATGCGTCTAGGAATGAACCTTCTACGACGTATGCAAGTGAGAAGCGTCATTTTTGGTACGTAGGGTATATGGATGAAAGCTAAAGTGGCAATAGGTTACTGAAATGGTTTGAGATAGCAAAATAATAATTCGGGAGTTGTCCGCGCGGAATAAAACACTGGAAAGTACCGCTGGAGCCGTTGTAATGCATGATGACACCTCTCTTATATGTAGCATAGGCAATGTACAGAGCCTATGCCGTAAATGCACTATGCATGTTGAAATGGCGTTCCCTTGCGATTGCTCGGGTATCTGTAAAAAGCACGGGATTTAGATGACCAAGTATCTTTGGTTTCACATACGATGGAAAAGTATTATTTTTATACATGTGATGTTGCCCCAAACTTTGGTTTTTTTAATTAGTTCGGATACCCGGTTATTTCTCGCTACTTTCTTTGAAGAGCAATTTTTCGTAAATGTTGCACTTTTATTCCAAAGAAAGTTCACACTTAGATTTTCTTGCAAGATTTTTTTAGATCGCTTTTTGGAATGGATAAGCCATGCTTGAGGCGAAGATCTAATTTTCATTGTTCAAACGCGCATCCATGCATGTTTCAAAATAAACGAGAGAACCAACGTACCACTGATACGGCAAGAAAATGCGAATCCATGTAGGTTTTCCGAAAGCTCGATAGGTTTAGACAAGCACAGAGTGTACCGACTTCTATACAATAACATACCCTTCTCGAAACGAATGAAGTTAGAAACCTTGAGAAATAATCTACATACAACTAGTTGTTTGAGCTAGTCTCATGACCAAATTCATCAATTTTGAATCTGTATGAAATAAAACCCATTCCCAATCATTTGCCTCCAAAGCCCTTTGCATCGTAAACCTTTCCCACCCTCCTGCTCATCACATATTTCTCAAGAAAACTGGTGTCTGTTAGGGCTACGCACATGAAAAGATATTGCCAACCTCTATAAGAACTTGTTTTTATCTCCATCCCGTTGATTTAGACTTTGAAAATTCTGCACGGAGCCCACAACATTTGTGATATTTGAGAGACCTTAAAGAAAACCCATTTGTATCAATATGTTAAATATTCATGGTTTGATGGTAGCAACTATTGTTTGGGACGAAACTTGGTCCCTTCGGAAAATATGTTTGATCTTCTCCACCGGTATGTTAATTTGCAATGGTTTTCCAAATGGGTTTCTTCTTTTGCAAATATTTCAATTTTAGACAGTAGATTTCACTTGGATGACCACCTTAACATAATCGTTTTCAATGCAAACGCCGTCCCCCCCTGAGATCGTTAGTGACGGGCTAGGTGAACGATGTAGCTCTTACTAAAGCATTGGGCACAAGCTTTCCGAATGAACATTTAATCATAGTTTTTACTACCTAATAAGTATCACTCATCGGCGAGCTATTCTAGAGCCGTCATAATTGTAGATGCCAACCAGGAAATCAGTCAGAAACCGAACTAGCAAAGCTTCCCAAAGACAGCAAAAGTATAGTTTGATTGGATATTACTAACCCAAACCAAAATCTTTCAGGATAATACCAAAATGGCTGCTTACATATCTAAGCTCAACCCACTTGTCATGTCACGGTACGCAATAGTTGTCCTTACTATTTTTAAGAAAGAGCCAGGGTTAGATATTTTCTAAATAAACTTTGAAATGGGCGTTCAAATGCGAATTTCGACCTAGAATTAGAGTTTATGAGATGCAGAAACGCTATTTTAACTCAGGTTCCTGTCAACAATCTTCTTCTCAGCTTCTACTAATGGATTGATGGAATCTGATGTACGTACTCGTTTAATTTGGCCATTATTTAGAGAATAAACATGGTGCAAACCGATCATTAACTAATTTTTTTGGTTTTTTGTCTCAAAAAGGGTGCGAGGGGGGGGGGGACGTCCTTAGCTATTATCGCTATATACGTAAAATGGAGGTTCGGTCAGTTTGTTTGTTTGGTATCTTTTTCTATTTCGAGAGTATTACCCGACTTTCTCACGGATAAGCCATTGGATTAATTTTATTTCAACAACAAAGGCCCATTTTTTGTGCTTTTTTTTTGGATTGTTCGGTAATTTGGATTAAATTTATTGGGTACATCCCTTTACAAATCAAATCTATAAACAGCCATAAAAAATTTATTTTATTAGGATTTCTTATAAGTGGTACTTCGCCAGAGTTTCAACTTCTAGAGAGAATAACTACAAGTACAATTCTCTTACTCATAATCAACCTAAATGCTGGTTTTTCATAAGGAGCAGGAGTTGGAGTAGTATAATCCACAATCGCCGGAAAAATACCCTCTACTCCAGAAGAACTCGTAGTTTAGGTAACATGAGTGGATCCCGAAATGAAGATTACTACATCGGGATGTAAATTGGGCGTTGGTTGTCCAACCTGTTAAAGAAAATTAATGTATAAATGAGTGATAAATACAGAGGTTATTTAGAAGGAGTAATTGCATAGAACGACAATTTTTTTTATTCTTTTCTACTATATTCGAGCTATAGTGTTATATAAATCGTAAAAGCCAACAAGAAGA